GAAGTAAAGGGGAGGTGGTGGTAAGGATTGATGTACAAAACCCATGTCTTTATCTTCCTTAATAAAAAAATCAAAAGCCACATAGGATTATAAAATAAAAACATGTTGCTTAGAATATATAGAGGTAAAAACCAAAGAAAGAGATAAATGAGAAATCTTCTCTTTGGGGCAATAACTGTAGCTTTTCATAGTGTATTATGTAACTACTCGATACATATGTATCTTATGACAAAATAAAGTTAGAATTAAAACAGACTGCCATATAGCATCTATACTTTGTCAATGTTGACATAAGTATTCACAAGATAGATAATACACATATACATGCGTAGATGTAAGCATATCTATATCCGTATATATTGGTACCTCAGTTGACAAACTTAATTTGTTCTACAATTTTGGCAAAGATGGATACATTTCTGTTTGTATGGGAAAGATGCTACGATCATGTTTGTCAGTCAATGCAGAGTTTGCAAACAAAACAAAATTTTGCCAAATGCTTCCATTTGCTAACTAAATTATTTGAACAAAAGCATTCGTGAGCCAAGGTACCACTGTGTGTGTGTGTGTGTGTGTGTGTGTGTGTGTGTGTGTGGCTTTACCAAAGGATTACATCATTCTATATATAATATATTGTGTTTGTCAGCTTTTCTACCACTGGGGCAAATATGTAACACCCACAACTTACAGGGGGAGAGATTTATTTAGTTCACAGTTTCAGGGGGTTCAGTCCTTGGTTAATTAGCTCCAAGGCAAAATTAGCATGGCAGAAGAGCATGGCAGAGGTCCATCGTAGCCAGGAGGCAGAGAGAAAAGGGAGGAGTTAGTAACCAGAATACACCACTCCATGTCACACTCCAGTGACCTGTCTCCAACCAGGTCCCACCTCCTAATAATGCATTCAGTTGTGAATGCATCACTGGATTAATCCACTGATAATGCCACCAGGGTCCAATTAGCTTCCTAAAGTTTTCCCTTTACACCCATGGGACTCTTGAGGGACAGTTTAGATGTAAATCATAACACATCTTTCATTTGCTTTCCATAACAATATACTATGAAAATCCTTGCACATCAACTAGTAATGAATCACCTTTTTAAATGGTGATACACTGCTCCATGTGTACATGCATGAGAACTGATTTAATTACTTCCTCTTTGAGGGGCATTGACTTTGTTTCCAAGTTTTGGGTTTTTCCTTTTATTTTGTTTTTGCCACGACACACACTACAATCATTAACAAGATGTTGATAGAATTCCTGAGGTTGAGAGCTGTCATCCAGTTACAGAAACTTTCTTGTACTCTTAAGTTGCTCAGAGTTTTTATTTATGTTTTAATAAGGGGTGGCTACCATATATGTTGTCTAACTTTCTTTCGGGGGCAGGGCATAATTTGTTTTGATTCTGAGCCTGCTGAGATGGACCATATGGGTTTTACAGCTATCGAGATAATCGTAGGGCATTTCTTTGTTAATCTGTTAATATGGTTAACCATATGAATGGATTTTCTAGTGTTGAGTCATCCTTACATTCTTGAAAGTTAGTTGGAGCTGCATTGTCATGGTCCCTGGTGGTGGTCTTTCCGAATGCTGCTAGATTCAGTTCATTAACATGTTCCTAACTAGCCTGGGACAGCTTTTTTCTGTCTGGCTTTGGTTTTAGGATTATGCAAACCCCTGAAACAAGTTGCAAATGTATCTATACTTCTATGACCTGAAACTAAGGACATGATAGAACTGAGCCTCCATGAACCTGGCAGACCCAGGGCAGAGCTCCAGGCAGCTCAGACCGAGAGGCACGTGATAACTAAGTGACTAAGCTATATGCAGTGCCAGCATCTAAGTGCTGTTGGGGACAGGGTGCACAGGAGCACACGCATGGATTAGGGGGAAAAGCCAGCCATAGTAAGCAGGAAGCAGGCAGAGGCACACCTTGGAAGCACAGGAGAATGTGGGTCAGTCTAAACCCTGAAAGGTTTTAAGCAGAAGCTTTACATGATCAAACCTGCAATTTTAAAAGATTACTCTTTTGCAAATAGCTGTACACCAGATTGACCTGTGAGTTGTTAGGGAGACCACAACTCGAGACAGCCAGGCTGGGGCCCCAGAGCATGGTCATCACAGGGGTGCCCAGGATGGTGTTAATGGATGGTGTTAATGGAGTACCCATCACTGAGGTGGCAAAGCTGGAGGAAGAACCAGTCTGAAAACAGACCAGAGGTTAGTGGTGGAAGTGCAGAGTGTGAGGCAGGAGCTTTGAGGTCAGCACAAAGTGCAGACCCCAGAAGGGTGCAAGGGGCCACTGAGGAATTTTTAGACCGGAACAGAGCCGGGAGCCAAGGTGAAGTGCCCTAGGGCAGAAGGAGAGGAGAGGAAGGATCCTGTGGGGCCTGGAATATAACAAAACAATTTGGTGGGAGATGTCAAACCATCTGTGGTCCTGACGCTTTGCCTGTGGATCAAGAAGCAAACAAGGACATAGTGATAATGAGGAGCTGGCAAAGACCGATCCTCTAGTGAGACCACAAAAAACCAGGGCTGAAAATGCAAACAGGAGGTCTCCAATCATCTCCCCACTACAGTCTTCTCCATCCCTGGGGTGGCCCCGTCCTCCCAGCAGCTCAGAGTCCTGCAGCCCCCTGACTTCTGTCCTCTCCTCATCCTAGCTCAGCCCTTTGGTACTTCCGCTCAGGTCTGCCTTCAAAAGCTCCCCAAGGTCAGCACGGCCCACACATTGCTTCCATCACTCTGCCCATTCGGCTAACTGGGCTCCACCGTGGCCTCTCCTGCTTATCCAGCTCAGGGGCCACCATGGTCCTTGTAAACCATAAACCATCGATTGCAAACAAAACTGCAGGTCCTTAGCGTGGCCACAACCCTGACACAGTGGTCTGTCTCCCTACGTGGCTGTCCCATTTCCTCGCGGCCTTTCTCCTGTGCCTGGTTTTCCTCCAATGCACCAGGCATCCTATGTATTCTCCTTCCAAATTCCCCTTCGCACTTCTCTGTTCCCTCCCTGACATGTACCAGCCTCCAGGACACTGCATATTAAGGTGTCTGCCTCCCCACAAGGACATAAATTCCTGGAAGACAGAGATTCTTTACTGCTATTCACCACTATGGCTCCAGCACCTGGCGAATACCACATGCGGCCCCTAGATGAAGTTCAAAATATATTGGGTGAATGTTTAAAAGGAGGACAGGGACAGAGGGCCAGCCCTGCAGGTGGGGGATATACTGAGGTTCCCTGAGTCCTAAACCAGACCCCAAAGGTGAAGCTAGCACCTCCACCCTCTGAACCTCTACAGCACAATGGGCCTCCTGGGCACAAAGTCAGAGATGGGGGGAGAGTCCTGCCCAGAGGCTTGGGGACTTACCTTTCCTTTTATTTGTCTCTTTTTAAATTTTATTTTTATTTTAAAAAGGGTAAGATTAAACAGAACAAAACAGATCATAAGGAAACAATTTTAAGAAACACGGATTTCAAAGCAAGTCCACTAGAGATCTTTACTGTCTATCATATTGTCTCTTGTTTTCTTCCGTAAACTGAAATCTTTACGTATGCTGAAATTCAACATGAGACTAGACTAATTTCACTCTGAACAGTGAATAATAGTATTGCTAGATTTCATATCATAATGATACAGAATGGGCACTGGGTATCTTAGTGTCTCTTATTCTTCAGAGTATCTGATCATTACATCATGTATTATATAATCTGTTCCTGTGAACTGTTTAGAAATTCTACCCATCATGAATACATGTGAATACATGTGAATCTCTACATGGATACCTATCCTTTCTGTGTTATGGGGAAAAACAGATCAAAACAAGACAACAAAACAAATTCCTAGAAAAACATGAAACAAAAAAGACATATAAAACCACAATACTAGGTGATCTACAGTAGTTACTATGCTTTCTCTTGTTATTTTCAATAGAATTGTCCACATCATCAAACATAATATAACTGAGCATAGCATTACATAGCAACTTTAATAAAAACACAACGTTGGAGACATTGTAGGACTTTAAAAGCAGTTAATAATCAAACTGGAATGGGTATTTTATTGCATCTTGTCATCTTCACAGTAGTTGTCTCTACTCAGAGTTCATACTATCAAGCATATCAAATTCAAATAAAATCAGTCAAGACAAAACAACGGTCTAACAAACCAGCTTCAAATAAGATCAGTCATAGTAAGACAGTGTAAGTAATACCGGGCTTCAGTTTAAGTTAATAGGGAATTAAGGATAGTTACCCTGGTATAGCCTGCTATTTTTGGGATAGCTGTCTGTGCCCACTTTATTTGTCGCTAGCCTGTCTGTCCATGCCAAGGGGAGCATAGGGCCTGTGGTCTCTGAGCCCCAGGCTGCTCCCCTGTGCATTGGAGGTGATTTGTGAGCCTAGAGGAGGGACAAGGACACCATGCTGGGCAGGTTGGGGTGGCCAGTGAACAGTACTATACCCACCAAGTAATCCAGAGCACAGGACCACCACAGAGACGTGCTGTCCCTTGAAGGTGCCAGATGGGTGCCTGGAAATGAGAAATGATGGAGAAACCCCAGAGGCAGCAGGGTGGAATGGACGTGAGACTCAACGGAGTGCGTTACAAGGCACACGGCTTCTTTGCCAAGTCCATAGAGAAATTGCACACTGATGGTCAGAGGGGCCAGCTGTGACCTCCCCATGGCATCAGCTGGATGCCAGACCTGGGTGGGATCTGGGCTCACGCAGGTAAGTGCAGAGGCTCTGAGAATCCGGCCGCTGCCCTCCAAGGGCTCAGGCACCTGCTGGGGGAAGGAAGGGCACCTCGCTCTGCGATGTGCCTTTCTGGATGCCAAAGCCCTTCCCATTTGGCCACCCTTTGCAGCCACCACTTTCTCAAAGTAGATTTACTTTCAATCGCCATTTGCTAAATCTGCCCCCTGTAAATCTTCGGGGGAGGGAGGGATTAAGCCCGATTACAGATGTTATAGAAGAGAGCCCAGGAGCTCGAGGGGGTGGGAGTTAGGCAGGAGGTGCAGGCGGACACAGCCCTTTCTCCTCCTGGGCTGACCCAGCTGTCTGCCGGCCTTGCCTCAGGTTAGGGCCCCCTTGCCCAGCCCGGCAGCGTGGGGCTGATCTGCCCACCTCAGGAGAGGGCCCTGCTACTCAGAGGACGCAGCAGACGGACTCATGGGCTCCGTGAGAAAAATGAGCAGCTCCTTCAGGAGGAGCTCGCTCAAGAGCTCCACGTCAGGCTCCCAGAAGGTGAGTGAGCTGTGCGGGCAGCAGGCAACTTCGGGAGAAGGACACAGGTCTCCCGCTCTTTGGGCTCCTGTCCTCCAGATTTTGTTAGGTGGGCCTGGGTATCTGGTCTTCAGCTCTCTCGCATCAAATCCGCGTCTTAAGAGGCAGCCCCTCACTTCTGTCACTGGTGCCCCTGTGGCCAGGGGTGCTGCCACCTTCATGTGGCATGAAGCACCCTGGGAGGTGTCTGCGGGGCGTGAGTCACACAGATCTGTTGTCCTTGCTACAAGAGCCACATGCTCCTGAGTCAGCACTTGGGGTTTTGCATGGAGTGATGGCCCCTTGATGGGGACAGCTGCTTCTCAGCTCTCTGCAAAGGGGCTCTGCACTCACCTTCGCTCTGAGTCAGCTGTTAGCAAGAGCACTTCGTGGGCTTTGCAGTGTATGGGATGACCCCAGTGTGGGCCTCAGCCTCAGGGTGCCAAGTCTGCCAGAAGAGAGGGATAGCCAGATGCCTCTAACAGGAGGGAGGCTCTAATGACACTTAGTAGGGTCCTGGGCCAGGCCAGTGGCCCCCAGGACTCGGAGAAGGCTGGGCAGCATGGACCCTCGCAATCTCTCCAGGCAGAACCCTACAGCAGCGGGTGCTGATCTGAGTTTGGGTGAGCCTTTCTGAGAATGTTGACCTGAGCACCCAGGACTGCAGTAAATGACCCCTTGTGGTCAGGCCACTGCCTTATCCTATTGCCCATAGAAGGGGCTGCCAGGGAGGAGCTCAGCACAGGCTGCACAGAGGGCTCTGGATATCCCTGCTGACCCTGAGAGCTCAGTGAGGATCTCTGCCCCTTCAAGGGCACTACAGGAGGGTGGGAGGAGAGAGGAAGAAGTGGGGTGCCTGCAGCCAGGGAAGACGCACCCTTTCAGGAACACCTTCTCAGCACCCGGGTGCCAGGCGGGGACAAAGCCAGTGATGCAGCATGATCGGGGTGAATGCTCACAGGAGGGTTATTTGCCTGGGCTGGGCACACAGGGTCAGGACTCAGGGAAGTCACTACCTCAAGGGCACTCCCCCTCTCCACACCGGGACTGGGCAGGTGTCCGGCGTCTCTGACACCAACACCCTGAAAATGCAAATAGAGAAAAGTAAATGGCACCTTTATCTCTATTTTTTAAACCTCGCCTTTGTTTTAAGAATAGAAAAGAACCATTCTCTGAGGACTTCATAGGGGACAGACACATCTCTCTGCTGCCTCATGCATGTGTGAGAGTCAGCATTATTCTTAGAGACAGCGCACACCCACTCCCTTGTGTAAATTAACATTCACAAATCTACCACTGCTCACATGCCACTAGCTGTGCAGCCCAGCGCCATGGGGCTCCACGTGACACGAAGCGGGTCCACACCGTGCTCTAAAAAGGAGCAGGCTTTGCTGGTGGTGAATTTCCCGGTGACTTTGCTGAGTACACAGCCTTACGGACAGTCCTGTCTGGCCCAGCTGCAGCTGATGTCTTGGAGCAGGCCATTGAGCTAGAGGCAAGGAGGGAAGAAGCACTAACATTCAGATCAGGATTGAAAAGCAGCACCTTGTTCATAGACATACATGCATGAATACACACATGCACTCACACACACGTACACACTCCTGCAGGAGTGCGCACTGACAACCACAGTGCTTCTCAAGTCCAAGGGCCAGGGTGAAGGACGACCTCTTCAGGGATCACCTTACCCCATTTGATGCAATGCCACATTCCTACAAATGGGCAGGCAGGGTAGCACAGTGGTAGAGCGTGTACATAGCCCTTGGTTCAATCCCCAGCACCACCAAGATCACCACCACCACCATCACCATCCCCATCACACCCAAACTCCTACGAAGCCAATGAGTTAAAAGTTCGTGATGGCATAGTTGCAGTTAGGCCTATTTATAAGACAGAACCGACAGCTTTTAAGGGAGCTCCTCGTCAGGGAGGTGCTAGGAAACATTCATGTCACACAGGCCAGAGCAGGGTGTTCTCTTGCATACCCGGCCTTCCTGTGACCGCAGCAGCCCAGTGCCACGTCTGTTTCATCACTAAAAGCCGCACCCCTCTGTCCGTGTTTGCTGAAACACACCCACTCCCTGAAGGGAAGACAGAAATGTGAACTGTACTACCAGCAAGTCTCCCAAGGATCCTCTCCCTGGGCCCCGGCCGGTCATTTCTCTCCAACTCAGAAGCTCTCCCCTTGCCTCGGCCCTGTGGGACACATGGTATGTGTTTCCCTGAGCCTTGAGCAAAATCCAGTCCCCACTGGGGCTTCTTGAACACCACTGCCAGCAGCCTACTTGCTGGGAGTTCCTCCTGGCAAGAGCAGTCCCCCTTCCAGGAAAAGCCTCCAAGTACTCCTGCAGGAAATGGAAAATGTGATTCTTTGTCTAGGACTTCCCTCCCTGTATACACTGTATTTTCTAAAAGATGCATCTAAAATTTGAAGTTGAAGATCAAATTTCCCAGACAAATTTGAATAATAGTACAACTCAGCAATTTTACTCTAGATTCTATTTTAGAAAAATCCCAGTTCTTGTGCTCAAGGAAATGTAAACCAGTTATGTCAACACTGCGTGCTCTAGAAAACCAGAAGCAACCAAATGGCTTATCTGTAAGGTTTGGCTAAGCATTTGTTCATCTGAGCGATGGAATACTATACAGCAGTTAAAACAAATAAACTAAGTACTATGTCAACATGGGCAAACCTCAGAACACACTATTTATAGAAGATATAAAACATACAAGGAAATCCAAATCAAAGACATGTTTCTGTAGGGTGGAGGCGTTAGCTCTATCTGTAGCATTCTTTCTCTCTCTGTCTCTCTTTCTCTCCTTTACTGTTTGTTTTTCTTCTCTCTTCCCCCTTTCCTTCTTTCTTCCCTTTGTGGAAAAACACAAGCACATCTGGAAAGTCATCACCTCTAAAGCAGGGCTGTAGGGCTTCAGCTCTGTTACGCTAGAGTGGTATGTGATTCTAAAGTTAAAGGGTGCTGTCACAATTGAGAAATGTTTTCATACCTTTAAAGCAAGTCATAGAGACAGTAGATATAAACCCATGGCAGTGCAAGAAGGAGGCCACTCCCCGGGCCACGACTCAGCCCTCAGGGACCCTCTGCCTAAGCCACCCTTGTTGCCAGGGCGTACAGGAGGCACCCACAGCCCTGCCCTGGGATGCTAAGTTTCCTGTCCTCCTGGGTTCTGGCTTTTTCCCTACCATGTCTGCAGGTCAAGGTCTCCTCCTGCTGCAGCCCACTGCCCAGCTTGGGGACACGGGGGCTGTCACCTCAATAACAAGGCACTAGGATCACACCTGGCCTTCCTGGAGGTCATGTTACCCCAACCTCTCAGATGGTGTAGCCAGACCTGGGGTGATTTTGAGTGCATTCGCCAGGCCTGTGCTTGGAATCCATTTGAATGCGGTAAACCCCAAAACCATTCCCATCCTGGAGGAGCAGGAATCAGCCACCCTGCTCACTGAAGGCACCAGGCCCACCCTCTCTTGCCTGTCTCTAACACTTCAAATCACACAAGGACTAAAACCCAGCTCCCTCCAGATGAAAGGCAGATTTTCCACCCACTGGAGACAAGTAATAAGGTCACATACAGGGTGATAAAAGTGGGTGACTAAAGAGTGAAATTTTAAAAAGACATTTAAGAAGCAAGTACTAAGGGTCTCTAAATATTCAACTGAACAGATATTTATTGATCCCTTCAAGTTGCTAAAATCATGCAGGAAGCGGAGGCTCTCAATTTCTGCTGTCCTGGTCGTGGCCCGTGGCGACAGTTTGCAGCCTTTGCTCAGAGCACCTTTTGAGGTTGAGTGTCCGGACCTCCTGCTCCTGTGCTGCGGCTCTCTTGGTGTGAAGGCCTGGGAAGCAGGGACCGGGTGCCCTGCTAAGCAGAGGAAGATTTTCAGAGGGAGGTGCCTTGTACAGGGGCTGCAAGCTGGGCTCCATCCTCCCCGTGGCCCATCGTTCTGCCCCTGCCTAAGGCACATCCTCTGGGGCAGTGGTACCCTTGCTGCTGAGGTCCCTCTCACCAAGTCCTGGTGTCCCACCTGTCCCACAGCCTCCAAGCCAGGCAGGCACCTCCATGTCTGTGTGAACCCCAGGCCCTGTGGGCACTCTGGCCCCAAGAACCAGCCCCAGACCCTGTGGCTGTGCCCAAGTGGTCACCCAGGGAACTGCTTTTAGTTGAAGGGGTACAGGCCTGAGCAGTGTGATTAGGAGCTCTGGGTTGGGCTGGGAATGTGCCCCTGGGGGCCTGAGGTTGAGGACAAGCTTGCTGGCTACCAGGTGTTCCCTTCAGTCCTGTGATGACAGGTCTTCCTGGGGCTGGGGTATCCAGTCCTGCCTCTGGGTCTTGCTGGGATTACCCCACTTTCCAAGTAGGCCTGGCAGGATGCCCATTATTTGGATTCCTTGCTCCTCTGTGTCTCCTCTTTCTGGCCCAGTGGCAGGGAGGCCACTCCAGGGGCAAAACCTCAGACTACACTGTGGAGAGATGGAGAGAGCCAGGGGCTAGGCAGGATCATTACCCTCATGGACATGGCCCCCTGGGGCACCACGGAAGAGTGGCAGAAAAATGCTAGATTGGGGACAGGAGGTCAGAGTGGGGGAGATGGCCGCGGTGGACAGCAGCCAGCAGTGCTGGAGAGGACGTGGCATACCCTTGGGTCTGGGGGCAGTGAGCAGATCTGACAGAGCTTGAGAGTCCCGTGGGACAGCCGGGGCTACGAGGGACCTTGGGCTGGACCAGGTGGAGTCACCAGCACAGCCTGGAGGCCCCGGAGGGTCGGTGTTCGAAAAGGGGGAGCACTGTTTTACAGAACTGCATGGTGTTACAAGAGAAGGCTGAAAAGGCGACCCCCTAACTAGGGATGTGCAGGGCGGAAGGCGGAGAGCTGGAAAACTTGGCCACTTTGCTTGGTTGGCCTGAGCAATGATGAAGATTAAGTGAAGAGGGCCCTCAACAGCTCAACCCAAATGCATGCT